TTAACATAATTAAAATATCACAGATGTTCCTTTTCTGACATACAAAAAGCAGATACCATCCTCAATTATGTTAACCTGTGGACACGCCGCATGGAATCTGTGTCCACTTAACTGCTCAGCGATACAGGAATAAAGAATTAAAACTGTTGATTTCCACCTCATCTACAAAACAGAAACAGTCAGAGATATAGAAAACATATATATATATATATATGTAACATATATATATATACATACATATATATAGTAAGGGGTGGAAGGGATAAATTCGGAGATTGGAATCGACTTACATACACTGCGCATGCTAAGTCACTTCAGTCGTGTCTGACTCTCTGCGACCCCATGGACTGTAGCCGGCCAGGGTCCTCTGTCCATGGGATTCTCCAGACAGGAATACTGGAGGGGGTTGCTATTTCCTTCTCCAGGAGATCTTCCCGACCCAGGGATCGAACCCCGGGTCTCCTGCATTATAGGCAGACACTTTACCGTCTGAACCACCAGGGAAACCCTTAATCAACTCTACTCCAATAAAAACAGACAAACAAAAAAAATGTCACTTTGCAGCTTCACCCCACCTAATGCATCATAGCATCTCCCATGAGTGAGCTGAACCAGAGAACAATAGGAAAACTTGCTTACTTTTAACCTCACAGTATATGGTGATTAACAGAGTGCTATGTGTCCAATGAGAAAGCCTAAAGAATTAGCCCTAGATGTTATTTTGATCGCCTTTTGGTCTTACATGCATGTGTGAAAGTCATTCAGTTGTGTCAGACTCCTTTGAGACCCTTTGGACAAGCCTGCCAAGGCTCCTCCGTCCGTGGGATTTCCCAGGCAAGAATACTAGAGTGGGTTGCCATTCCCTTCTCCAGTAGATCTTCCTGACCCAGGGATGGAACATGCGTTTTCTGTGTCTCCTACATTAGCAAGCAGATTCTTTACCACTAGCACCACCGGGGAAGTCCAAATGACAGTAAAGTAGATTATAGGTATGAGTTGGAAAATTGATGCAAACTATTTGTTTACACTTTATGGAGATAATACTTTATGATAAATTTCTATCAATAAATATTTTCCACCATGGTGGAATTTATCCTAAATTTATCCCAAAGCATTATCTCCATAAAATGGAAACAAAGATAGCATCTACAGAAATATGTATTGCTACCTGAAAATACAACAGTCTGGAAATCAGTGAATCAAACCCTTTTTTACAATTCCAGGCAATTAGGTTTGCATTCTTATTAAATTAACATATTCCTGGAACTGTGATTATCTGCGGTCTATTCTTTAAGTCTTATTGTTAAAGAGATACTTTATACCTTTTGTGATGAGCTAAATAACAGGGAAATATATACTTACTGACTGCAGCAAAGCTTTTGACTGTTGATCACAACGAACTGTGGAAACTTCTTAAAGAGATGGAAATAACAGACCACCTGACCTGACTCCTGAGAAATCTGTATGCAGGTCAGGAAGCAACAGTTAGAACTGGACGTGGAACAGAGGTCTGGTTCCAGATCGGGAAAGGAGTACTTCGAGGCTGCATACTGTCACCCTGCTTATTTAACTTATATACAGATTGAAAGTGAAAGCGACGTCACTCAGTCGTGTCTGACACTTTGTGACCCCGTGGACTGTAGCCTACCAGGCTCCTCTGACCATGGGTTTTTCCAGGCAAGGATACTGGAGTGGGTTGCCATTTCCTTCTCCAAGAGATCTTCCCGACCCAGGGATTGAACCCGGGTCTCCCGCATTGTAGGCAGACGCTTTACCATCTGAGCCAGCAGGAAGGATAATGGTGACCTCTTCAAAACATCCCACGCATGTATTGCTACACTCAGCATCCCCAAATCCTGCAGCCGGCCACCACTGACCCATGCCTCCACTTGAGACTCCCGGAAACTCACAGACAACATCATGAAAACTGCTGGGCTGGATGAAACACAAGCTGGAATCAAGATTACCAGGGGAAATGTCAATAACCTCAGATATGCAGATGATACCACCCTTATGGCAGAAAGCAAAGAAGAACTAAAGATAGGAAGCAACAGTTAGAACTGGACGTGGAACAGAGGTCTGGTTCCAGATCGGGAAAGGAGTACTTCGAGGCTGCATACTGTCACCCTGCTTATTTAACTTATATACAGAGTGAAAGTGAAAGCGACGTCACTCAGTCGTGTCCGACACTTTGTGACCCCATGGACTGTAGCCTACCAGGCTCCTCTGACCATGGGTTTTCCAGGCAAGGATACTGGAGTGGGTTGCCATTTCCTTCTCCAAGAGATCTTCCCGACCCAGGGATTGAACCCGGGTCTCCCGCATTGTAGGCGGACGCTTTACCATCTGAGCCAGCAGGAAGGATAATGGTGACCTCTTCAAAACATCCCACGCATGTATTGCTACACTCCGCACCCCCAAATGCTGCAGCTGGCTACCACTGACCCATGCCTCCACTGGAGACTCCCGGACACTCACAGACAACATCATGAAAACTGCTGGGCTGGATGAAACACAAGCTGGAATCAAGATTACCAGGGGAAATGTCAATAACCTCAGATATGCAGGTGACACCACCCTTATGGCAGAGAGCAAAGAAGAACTAAAGAGCCTCTTGATGAAAGTGAAAGAGGACAGTGAAAAAGTCGGCTTCACATTCTTAAACTCAACATTCAGAAAACTAAGATCATGGCATTAGGTCCCATTAAAGTGACAAGTGAAAGTGAAGTCGCTCAGTCGTGTCCGACTCCTCGAGACCCCATGGACTGCAGCCTACCAGGCTCCTCCATCCATGGGATTTTCCAATCAAGAGTACCGGAGTGGGTTGCCATTGTCTTCTCCGTAGGCCCCATCACTTCATGGCAAACAGATGAGGAAACAATGGAAACAGTGAGAGATTTTATTTTCTTGGGCTACAAAATCACTGCAGATGGTGACTGCAGCCATGAAATTAAAAGACACTGACTCCTTGGAAGAAAAACTATGGCAAACTTAGACAGCATATTAAAAAGTAGAGTCATTACTTTGCCAGCAAAGGTCTGTCTAGTCAAAGCTATGGTTTTCCCAGTGGTCATGTATGGATGTGAGGGTTGGAATATAAAGAAAGCTGAACACCGAAGAATTGATGCTTATGAACTGTGGTGTTGGAGAAGACCCTTGAGAGTCCCTTGGACTGCAAGGAGATCGAACCAGTCCATCCTAAAGGCAATCAGTCCTGAATATTCGTTGGAAGGACTGATGTTGAAGCTGAAACTCCAATCCTTTGGCCAGCTGATGTGAAGAACTGACTCATTGGAAAAGACCCTGATGCTGGGAAAGATTGAAGGCAGGAGGAAAAGGGGACGACAGAGGATGAGATGGTTGGATGGCATCACCGACTCTATGGACATGAGTTTGAGTAAGCTCCAGGAGATGGAGATGGACAGGGAGGCCTGGCGTGCAGCAGTCCGTGGGGTCTAAAATAGTTGGACACAACTGAGCAACTGAATTGAACTGAAATAACAAGATCTAGATAAATAGCTTGTTTAATAGAAACAATATTTTATTTTATTTAGACGTTGAACCTGTTGGGATAATGTGGTCAGGATCTTCTTTAGTTTGTGTGACTACGGAGTAATAGTTCTTGATAGACCATTACCTAATTCATAATTTTATATAAATCTGATCCTTTCTCATGATTCATTTTGGCTTCCCCATAGTTCATTGTGGCTTTCCCATTTCCTTCTGGGTGATGTTTTGATTGATTCTGTTCAGCATTGGACTGGTGTCCAGTTTAGATATATGTATTTGCATGTATTTCATGAACTACAACTGGAGTCTTTACTTTTTCCTTTTGTTGGGGCTTTTAATAGTACAAAAATTTAATAGACATCATATTTGTCCCACTGCTATTCCTCAGCACAGTACAAATTATTTCTTTAAGTACAACAGAATGCTCTTCAAATCTCATAAAAGGGATCTTTTTCTTACAATTTCACAAGGTAGTCTTCTGAAAGAAATGAATTGGTTTTGATTGAAAGAAATGATGACTTGTATGTCAAAAAGAATCAAACTGAAAAATGACTGTCTTCTGGAACAAATACGACACAAACAATAGATATTTTAGTGTGATGAAATGTCTTACCTTGCAAGTGTTTTGTAGAATAACATCATTTTTCTCTCACTAAGCACAGAAAGAAGAAAATAAATATATTTTTAGAAGTATTGATGTCTAGATTCTGCAGGCAGCATTAATTAGTGAGGGGAAGGGCTTGTTAGGGAGTTTGGGGAAGTCATGTATAAATGGCTGTGTTTAATATGGAGAACCAATAAGGACCTGCTGCGTAGGGAACCCCGTTCAGTATTCTGTAAAAGCCTTATGCTTTTCAGGCTGGAAAAGGTGGGGGGAAGAGGTAGTTGGGGAGTTTGGGATGGACGTGGACACACTGCTGTGTTTACCATGGAGAATCAGCAAGGACCTGCTGGACAGCACGGGGAACTCTGCGCAATACTCTGTAATAACCTTATGGTCACCAGGGGGAAGGATGGGGGAAGGCATAGTCAGGGAGTCTGGGATGGACATGGACACGCTGCTGTGTTTAACATGGAGAACCAGCAAGGACCTGCTGGACAGCTCAGGGAACTCTGCTCAATACTCTGTGATAACCTGATGGTCACCAGGGGGAAGGATGGGGGAAGGGACAGTCAGGGAGTCTGGGATGGACACGGACACGCTGCTGTGTTTAACATGGAGAACCAGCAAGGACCTGCTGTCCAGCCCAGGGAACTCTGCTCAATGTGGCAGCCAGGATGGGAGGGGAATTTAGGGAGAGTGGATATGTGTATATGTATGACTGAGTCCCTTTGCCATCTGCCTGAAACCATCACGGCATTGTTAATCGGCTCTACTCTAACATAAAATAAAATGTTTAGAAAGAATAAACATCCTCTAGGATCACGGCTGACGTTGGAAGTAAATAATAAGTATCAGAATTAAGCATACTTTAAAAAAATCCCCCCAGGTTCCGTTCAACCCCAGAGAAAATCGTAAGGTATTGAAGACTTATACAGAGGGAACACCTCCACACCCTATGAAGACTTGAACAATCAGGGCTTCTCTTAACACCGTGGGCGTTGATCTTTAAAAATGAATGAGCAGAAGGCGGTAACAGCAGTCTCTAAGGAATTACGTGATTCCACTGACATTCGACGTGGGCCAAAGATGAGTGGGTGAGTTCTGATCCTAACAAGCCTTTGAAAAACGGCTCAGCCGTGAAGCACGAGAAAAACGCTAGCAGGATGGTATGATAAATTAGAAATTCAATGTGCTGCCTTCTTTTCCCTCTAGACCCCCGCTGGTAACACATGTCTGACCTGGGTGAAGTGAAAGATTTCTTCAGTTAAAGAAAAAAAAGAGATCCTGAATTAAATGGGATATTTACGGGGCTCATTGGAACAAAGGAGCCACTGAACCGCATTTTGAGTATTCAAGATAGAAAATGAACTGAGAAGCCCTCTGATTGCCCCCTCCCTCAACCACAATTTGGTTCAATGTATTGTTAATCAAGATGACTTATTCAGGTCTCCACTGGAAGGCTCATCCACCCAGTCCCGACTGATCCCACTTAAGAATAATCACGTCTGATTTGTATGGAAGGAGAAAGAGATCATGGTCCCTGCCTGAATTTTAGCTTTAGAGAAAAAAACCATGGGACGTGGAGAATTGCCCGGAATCTTACCACCTGCTTCCTCCCACCTTTTATGACTCCAAGATCTCCCGAGCTGAGTTATCTCGTCCTCACTAAATTTCATGATGTCCAGACATGTGATGAAATATCATGGATGTGTGAATTTGCAGAGCTTCTATGACCATTAACATTCTATATTAATAATATTGCCTCTTCTTATTATTATTATTAATTTCCCACTTTCCCTCAATCTGAGCTTCCCGGGTGAAAATTCCACCTGCAATGCAGGAGACCCAGGTTCATTCCCTGGGTCAGGAAATCCCCTGGAGGAGGGCATGACAACCCAACTCCAGTATTCCTGCCTGGAGCATCCCATGGACAGAGGAGCCTGGCAGGCTACAGTCCGTGGGATCACAAAGAGCTAGACACGACTGACGTGACTTAGCACGCTCTCCTCACAGTTCTGATGAAGGTTTCAATACTTTGCATCTGACCCAGGTTAGCAGACATTTGGTCCTGAGCAAAATGTCCATAAGGCGTGTTTGCTTACTGGCATAGAGTTGATTAACAATGGTGTTTGTGTCAGCTACAGAGCAAAGTCAATCAGTTGTTCACTTATATATATATATTTAGCAGTTATTCACATAAGTATATGGCTGGTTCACTCTGCTATATGTATGTATAGACATGTATCCCCCTTTTTTCAGATTCCTTTCTCATATAGGTCGTTATGGAGTACTGAATAGAGGTCCCTTCTTAGTTACCTATTTTATATACAGTAGTGCTTATGTCTCAGTCCCCATCTTACAGTCTGCTCTTCCACACACCCTCCCCGGTAACCCTAAGTTTCTTCAGTCTGTGACTATTTCCGTTTAGTCAATAAGTTCATTTGTATGCTTTGTAAAGATCCCACGTAGAAGCGAGAGCATATGATATTTTGTCTTTATCTGTCTTGCTTCACTTCGTATGACACTGTCTAGGTCTGTCCATGCTGGTGCAGATGGCATTTAATTCAGTTGCTCAGTCGTGTCCGATTCTTTGTGACCTCATGGACTTGCAGCACGCCAGGCTTCCCTGTCCATCACCAACTCCCGGAGTTCACCGAAACTCATGTCCATTGAGTCGGCGATGCCATCCAACCATCTCATCCTCTGTCGTCCCCTTTTCCTCCCGCCTTCAATCTTTCCCAGCCTCAGAGTCTTTTCCAATGAGTCCTTTCCAACGGGTCAAAATAGTGCAAATGGCATTATGCTGTTCTTTTTCACGGCTGAGTAGTATTCCATTGTGATCTTCCCTGGGGGTTCAGGTGGTAAAGGACCCGCCTTCGTGGCTGAACGACTCACACTCTCGCTTTTCATGGTTGCTTCACACGGCTGTGTTACTTCCTGCCGTGCGGCAAAGTGAATCAGCTATGTGTGTGTCTGTTAGTCAATCTGTCGTGTCCGCCTCTTTGCGACCCCATGGACTGTAGCCTGCCAGGTCCTCTGTCCATGGGGGTGTTCTCCAGACAAGAATACTGGACTGGGTAGCCATCCCCTTCTCCAGGGGTATCTTCCCACCCAGGGATCAAACCTGCATCTCCTGCTTTGCAGGCAGATTCTTTACCGTTTGACCCCGCAGGGATCAGCTAGAGGGGTACATCTGTCCCCTCTTTTGTGGATTTTCTTCCCATGGAGTTAACCACAGACTGCTGCATAGCGTTCCCAGTGGAGTTCAGTTAAGTTCTCACTAGTCATCTATTTTATACAGAGTATCAATAGTGAGCACGTGTCAATTCCAATTTCTCAATTCATCCCACCTCACCCCCCCTCCTTGAGTTTCGATTTCCTTCTCCCGTCTCTTCCTTATTCCTCACCTAGCAGAGTCCTCACGCCATTGCTTTCTACATCTTGTCCCACATTTACTTGTAACAGGAACCAGCGTCGGTCTGGACTGTGTCCACGCCAGCCTCATCAACCCAGCTTTCTGCCCATTTATCCTCTTGTCTATTTTGCTTAGCTGATCTCCCGAGCTCAGAAGGACGCACACATCAAATATTTATCTCCTGAGATTGAAAATAGGTTTGCACCCTTGTGTTCACCTGCCATTTAATTTTTAGAAGGTCCTCAGAGGACGGTGACCTGAAACTGAACTGGCAGTGCAGATTCTGCAAAGCAAGGTCACAGGCATCTCTCACCCTCCTCTTGGAGCATTCAAGCTCAGCTTGGAAAAGACTTCAGCATCTAAAGCTAGAAGTAATATCATCCCTTGTGAGGAAGCAATCTCCCGCCAAAGCCAGAGACCGTTTTCTTTTTCTTTTTCTTTTTCTTTTTCTTGTTTTTAAGCTTGCAAAAAAAAAAAAATCTCTTCCTTGGGTCCTGTTCTCTGCCTTTACCTCGACCATTTTCAGCTTAAGATGCTGTGAAATTTTATTTTTCGACCTTTTAAACAAAACTTTAAAAATGTTTCATTTTATATTTTGCATTCTTATGGCAGCAGAGTTGCTTTACAATGTTGCATTAGTTCGGGGTGTACAGGAAAGTATTCAATTATACGTATACATAAGTTCACTCTTTCTTTAGATTCTTTACCCATTTAGGTCACCACAGAGCATGGAGCAGAGTTCCCTCTGACGTGCAGTAAGATCTCATTAGTGGTCTGTTTCATATATATAGCAGTGTGTACATGTTAATCCCAGTCTCCCAATTTATGCTTCCCTCCTTACCCCCTTGGTAACCATAACCTGCTTTCCACATCTGAGACTCCATTTCTGTTTTATTCATCATATACTTATTTATTCATTTCATTTGGCACCTCCTGGCCTTAATTGTAGCCCTCAGGGTCTTCTGTCTTCATTTGGGTGTTCAGGATCTTTAGCTGTGGCATGTGGGAGCTAGTTCCCAGACCAGGGATCAAACCTGCAGCTGGTGCATTGAAAACGTAGAGTCTTGACCGCCGTACCACCAGAGACGTCCCCGGTTATGTAAGTAAATTTATTTGCATCCTTTTTTTTAAAGAGTCCACCCTCAGTGAAGTATCTGACTTACTTTACTCAGCGTGACAATGTCTAGGTCCATCCGTGTCACTGCAGACGGCATCCTTCTAGGATGCTATTAAATCTTAAGTTGTTGTTCAGTTGCTCAGTCCTGTCTCACTCTTGGGGATCCCATGGACTGCAGCACGCCAGGATTCTTCCCTGTCCTTCACCACCTCTCACAGTTTGCACAGACTCATGTCCAATCAGTCGGTGATGCCATCCAACCGTCTCACCCTCTGTCGTCCCCTTCTCTTCCCACCTTCAATTGTTCCCAGCATCAGGGTCTTTTCCAATCAGTCAGCTCTTCACACCACGTGGCAAAGAACTAGAGTTTCAGCTTCAGCATCCATCCTTCCAATGAATCTTCAGGGTTCATTTCCTTTAGGATAGACTGGTTGGATCTCCTTGCAGTCCAAGGGACTCTCAAGAGTCTTCTCCAACACCACAGTTCAAAAGCATCCATTCTTCAGCACTCAGCTTTCTACATGGTCCAACTCTCACATCCATACATGACTACTGGAAAAACCATAGCTTTGACTAGACGGATCTTTGTAGCCCAAGTGTTGTCTGCTTTTTAATACACTGCCTAGGTTTAGTGACGTAAGGTGGATCAAACGATAAGGATGGAATTATTGAAACCTGGTGCAAAGCGACCTCTTGCTTTGTAACATTTTTAAACCACACCCAGGAATCCTTGGAATGCACACAAGTGGATCACTCAGTTCATAGACAGCTACAAGGGGGAGGGGAAATGATGGGATTTATCCCTGGAGCAGATCTGCTCAGCCCCCAAGCAGGTCAACCTCAACTAGGGGTGGAGGTCCGGGGGAGGTGAGGTCCCTCCCTCATTCTCCCCATCCCTCGAGGAAGTGCTCATGGCTTTGATAAACCCTAGGTGAAAAGCACCCTGCATCTTAGAAACTCAACTGTGAACATCCCCACCAGGCATTTATATTTAAACATCTTGATCTGCCTTTTTTTTCCATCTTGCATGCACACCACTGATTTCATTTTAAAAAGGAAAAAAAAAAAAAAAAGAAGAAGACTTTTGCAAAGAAATCTTTCTAGCTCTTATTCAAAAGACCCAAGGAAGACCAAACCTCACCAATCACCCCCGGAAGGTGAGGTCTCCGACCCTTGCCTGCCCCAACCCCAGTCACAGACTGACTTTTCCTAACGACCTGCGGCTCCTGTGGGCCTGGCAGTCCCCCGCCAGACACACCCCTGCAGACAGCCCCCGCATGTGATTTAATAAAACGTCTTTTGTCACAAAACCAGCACTCCCAGTTCCTCAGCCGGGAGCTCCGCTCAAGTGGAAATCAGGCATGGAAGCTGGCTCACTTTTTCTCCCCCGAGCTGGAGATCCAACCAGTCCATCCTAAAGGAAATCAGTCCTGGATATGCACGGGTAGCACTGATGCTGAAGCTGAAGCTCCAATGCTTTGGCCACCTGATGTGAAGAACTGACTCACTGGAAAAGACCCTGATGCTGGGAAAGATTGAAGGCGGGAGGAGAAGGGGGATGACAGAGGATAAGATGGGTGGGTGGCATCACCGACTTGATGGACACAAATTAGAGTAAACTCCGGGAGATGGTGAAGGACAGGGAAGCCTGGCATGCTGCAGTCCACGGGGTCGCAAAGAGTCAGACACAACTGAGCAAATTTCACACATTCACACTGGATTATAACCCGCCGGACTCCTCTGTTCTTGGGATTCTGCAGGCAAGAATACTGGAGTGGGTTGCCATTTCCTCCTCCTTCAAGGGATCTACTCCCGACCCAGGGATCAAACCCAGGTCTCTTAGGTGTCCTGAATTGACAAGCAGTTTTTACCGCAGTGCCACCTGGGAAACCCTCCCGCCTTTTCTTTGGGGAAAGCTTAAATGCTTTAGGACAGCGAACCCTAATCTTTGTGACACCAGGGACTGGTTTCATGGAAGACAATTTTTCCGTGGACGGACCCAGTGGGGAGACGGATTTCGGATGGTTCAAGAGCACTATGTTTATCAGGCACTTGATTTATGTCATCATTACATCAGCATTAGATCCCAGGGAAAGGGACTGCTTCTGTAAGGCAGTAAACCACCTATTTCTCTGGCGTCGGCATCAAACCACCTATTTCTCTGGCATCGGCATCAAACCACCTATTTCTCTGGTGTCAGCATCACTTGGCTTGGTAAGTATTTGAACTTCAGAGCTCCTTAAATGCTGGGCAAGTTTTCAAGATAGGCAAGTGAAGGATAAGTTAATTCGGACTGAATACGATCAAATAAATTTCAGTTTCTCCTTTTA